AAGGATGGGGGAAGAGCAAATCTTTTAAATGAAAGGTTTTTATGGGATAGGCTTGGAAATTATGTGTATTATTTCTGCTCACTTTCTGTTGGCCAGAGCTTAGTCTTATTGCCACACTGCCCTTCAGTTGCAAGAGAGACTGAGAAATGTTGTCTAATTATGTACTTAGGAAGAAGAGGAGAATGGGATATTTGTGAGCACCAGCAGTCTTTGCTGCAGTTCTTATTGTTCTGAAAATTCATTGTGAAATGCATGGTATGGATCTGTTTCATCTTTTATGCTCAGCACATAGTAGGACTTTTCAATCTGGAAACTTGTGTTCTTTAGTTCTGGGAAATTTTCCATTGCCTTTTCTTTTTCTCTTTCTGGAACTTCTATTATTTAGATATTAGACTTCCTAGACTGGTCTTTTTTTAAAAAATATTTCTTTCCTAATTTTCATCTCTTCTACTTTCTAGGCATATCTGAATATATAAATATATATATTTTAAGTTTTCTTTTCTCTACTTAGTTCTTGTTTCCTTTATATTGCTTTTACTAAGTCTGGTTTCTGTTTTTCATGTTAGAAGCTTTCTTCAGGCCGGGTTCCATGGCTCAGCCTGTAATCCCAGCACTTTGGGAGGCTGAGTCAAGTGGATTGTCTGAGCCCGCGGTTTCAAGACCAGCCCAGGAAACTTGAGAAGACCTCGTCTCTACAGTAAATAAAAAATTAGCCAGGCATGGTAGCACACACCTTTAGTTCCAGCTACTTGAAAGGTTGAGGCGGAAGGATCACTGGAGCCCAGCAGGTTGACGCTGGGGTGGCCATGAGTATGCCACTGCACTCCAGCCTGGGCAACAGAGTGAGACGCCAACTCAAAAAAAAAAAAAAGAAAGAAGCTTTCTTCAGATATCTTAAAATTTTTGATTACCTTTTTAAGGGTTAGAGACTAAGAAACTGATTTAAACCTGTTAGCTTCACTGAAGGGTGGTCTAACAGGGCTTTTCATTGGGGAAATCTCTCTTTTCTTCAATATCAGTATCTTTAGGCCTTTGTTCTTGGGATGACCAGATCTTCAGTCTCTCACCAGGAGAATAAAAGACTGCTAGCGTTCTGGGAGTGAAGGATAAAAGGGGTGTTGGTATCTCAGCATTCAGTGTTTCTGTTCCCTCAATCCGCTAATTTTTTATACAACTTTGGTTCTCATCCCAGAGACCCACACTTTAACCGTTTTTTTTTTTTTGAGTTGGAGTCTCACTCTGTCGCCCAGACTGGAGTGCAGTGGCACACTCCCGGCCACTGCAGCCTCAACCTGCTGGGCTCAGGCAATCCTCCCACCTTAGCCTTCCAAGTAGCCGGGACTACAGGCACACGCTACCGACTTCAACCATTTTCAAAGAATAGCTTGTATCCCATGCCAAGGTTAGGGAGGAACCAGTCCCTAGAATGCTGAATGAAAGAAGTAATCTAAAGATCTATTTCAATGCATTTTTCTACCAACTTTCCTGATTTTAGCTCCCAGTCCACCTGTATTTCCAGAGGCTCCTGATACTGCCACGCCTGAGTCTCTTGCAATTTTTTAATATAATTCAGGTTGTTTCTTGGTCTTCCCCTTTTCTGTTATAATTGTACTTCTCAGATCTCTTAAATCCTTTCCTATTAGTTCTTCTGCTTTTCAGTTTCTAGAATTTTATTATAGTCACTTTTGTCTCTTGTTTTCTATCCTTATGGGTCTTACGCCTTTAAAAACAAATCTCTTATATTGTTTTATTGAGGTTGCAGGAGAGAGTGAAAATAGATGTGTCTGTTCAATCTGCCATCATTTCCTGCAAATGTGAAGTGGTGTCCTTTAAGTTTGATTTGAAATCTCTGATCTCTAGGGCTGCTTTAACAAAGTGCCACAAACTGAGTGGCCTAAAACAAAATAAATTTATTTTTCTCACAGTTCTGGAGGCAAGAAGTCTTAATAGGGTTTGTTCCTTCTAGAATCTCTGAGGGAGAAATCTGTTCCATGCCTGCTTCCTAGCTTCTGGTGGTTGCCAACAATCCTTTTTTGGATTGTAGATGTATCACTTCTGTCTTCACATGACATTCTTCATGTGCTTTTTTTTTAGAGACAGAATGTTGCTCTGCCACCCAGGCTGGAGTGCAGTAGTTTGTCACAGCTCACTCTAGTCTCAACCTCTTGAGCTCAAGCCTAATTTCCTGTGTAGTTAGGACTACAGGTACAATACACTATGCTCTATGCTTTGCTAATTTTTTTTTTAATTTTGTGGCAGCCAGGCTCAGTGGCTCAGCTTGTAACCCCAGCACTTTGGGAGGCTGAGATGAGTGGATTGCCTGAACCCGCGGGTTCGAGACCAGCTCGGGCAAATTGGCAAGACCTCATCTCTACAATAAAATAAAAAATTAGCAGGCATGGTAGCGCGTACCTGTAGTTCCGACTACTTGGAAGATTGCCAGGGCCCAGCAGGTCTACGCTGTGGTGGCCGTGAGCATGCCACTGCACTCTAGCCAGGGCAAACAGAGTTGAGACTCCAACTCAAAAAAAAATTTTTGTGTGTGTGTGATGACCGGATCTCACTAGGCTGCCCAGGTTGATCTCCAACTCCTGGTCTCAAGCAATTTTCCTACCTTGGCTTCTCAAAGTGCTGGGATTACAGATTATGAATGAGCCACCATACCTAGCTCATATGGCTTTCTTATAAGGACATCAGTCACTGAATTCAGTAACACCCTAATTCAATATAACCTCAACTTGATGACATCTATTTCCAAATAAGTTCATATACATGAGAAATTGAGGGTTAGTACTTCAATATACCTTTTAGAGGGATACAATTCAACCCACAACAAACTAGCAAATTTGATATCTGAGATGATCCATGTATGAAAAACAGAGGTGTCTGTAGTTTTTTCCATCAGTAATTGTCAAAGGCTTTAACCAATGTGATTATGGCATTGTTTCCCAAAATGTGTGTCCAAGGATATTTATGAGAAATGAATTATATAGTCATCTAAATTGGGGAAATGCTGGTTAAAATAAGAAAACTCTTTAACTGTAGATCTTCTCAGGACCTTTAATATGCCAGTGTGGACTGTGAGACATACTGCTTAGGAAATGCTACATATGTGCTCCCCCTTTTAAAAAAAAATTCCCTGTAGAGGGAATTTTGGAGAATGCTTGCTTTAAAAATATGTATTTTATAGATAAGTCTCTACTGTCATTTTTGCATCTGGAGGATAGCACTTTATTACTTTAGTATAAAAACATTAGAAGTATTGCTAAAAGCTAGCGTTTAAATGAGGTGTGGAGCAGGCAGAATGACTGTTCTTCCTGAGCACACTTACCAAAAGTGGCCTGTTTTCAACAGTTGTCGATATGATACCTATTAAAACAAAGAAAGGGCCAGGCTTGGTGGCTCAGCCTGTAATCTCAGCACTTTGGGAGGCCAAGGCGAGTGGATTGATTGAGTTTGCAGGTTTCAGGCCAGCCCAAGCAACTTGGTGAGACCTCATCTCTACAATACATCAAAAATTAGCCAAGTGTGGTAGCGAGCACCTGTAGTTTCGGCTACTTGGAAGACTGAGGTGGAAGGATCGCTGGAACCCAGCAGCTGGTTGACGCTAGGGTGACTGTGAGCATGCCGCTGCACTCCAGCCTGGGCGATAGAGTGAGATTCCAACTCAAACAAAGCAAAACAAAACAAACAAACTAAAGATATTAGAAGAAACAATGTGACATGCAATTGAGAAACATCATGGACATGCTAAAATAGTGGATTGTGTTTTCTTTCCTTTTAATGGTGTAGCTCCTCACTAATCATAGAGTAGGCCTGCCACCACCTACTATTCTTGTCCTAATGACCCAATCTTCTTTGCATTAGAACCAGTTTATGCCTGTGAAGAATACTAAACAACAACAACAACAAAAGACTATCTTTTGTTAAATTGTCTGTGCTGCTACTTGGGCTCAGACCTTTTGAAGTATGTATCATTTGTCTAGAAAAATTTAAATTCTGGAGATCTAGAGCATTTCTGTCCAACAAAACTTTTTGTGATGATGAAAACGCTCTATATCTGTGCTGTTTAGTACATTAGCCATTAGCCATATGTAGCTAGTGACCACTTGAAATGTGGCTAGTGTGACTAAGGAACTAAAATTTTAATTTAATTCAGCTAAATGAAAATAACCACATGTAGTCGGTGGCTACTGAACTGAACAGTGCACATTTAAAGAATGGTGTTACCTCTGACTCTAGTTCTGATTCTTAACCTTTTGTCTCTACCTGAGGATACACATTTTCTGAGGGATAGACATACTTCCATTGGTTCCCTTGTAGTGATTCTTAGGTTCTTAACTATGGGGTCACATTCCTCTGGGGAATGGCATGTTCAGTTTGGGAAAAAAAGCCTCTAGGTGGTTCTGATGTTTTGTACCCCTCTTAGGTACCTGTTTCCTTATTTACCCTCTACCCCAAATAATTATTGCTCTAAAGGTACTAATGTTTATGATTAGAACTCTAAGCACAGAGAATTCCTATTTATTTATTTATTTATTTATTTTTGAGTCAGAGTCTCACTCTGTTGCCCAGGCTGGAGTGCAGAGGTACACTCATGGCCACCCTAGTGTCAGCCTGCCAGGCTCCAGCAATCCTTCCGCCTTAGCCTTCCAAGTAGCCAGAACTATAGGGATACGCTACCACACCTGGCTAAGTTTTTAATTTATTGTAGAGATGAGGTCTCTCCAAGTTGCCTGGGCTGGTCTTGAACCTGTGGGCTCAGGCAATCCACTCACCTCAGCCTCCCAAAGTGCTGGGATTATAAGCTGAGCCACTGAGCCTGACCAGTACAAATAATTCTTACCCGATAGTTTAGTATTTCTATTTAGGAGTAAAATTGATTAAAAGAAGGGCCAAATTTTAATTGAATCTTATACTGGAATATGAATATTGGCATGATATGTTCCAGTTACTAGCTGCAATTTGCAGTCTTTTTATAATTTTTTTCTATCTGGTATATTATCACGCAAAGAAGCAGTCCTAGTGTTGATTGTAGGTAGGTGTGGAATATAGGTGAAAAGACTGCTGCTATTTGGTTGTTATCTCTAAGAAGTTATTCTGCCCCCAAATAGTTATTGTAACACCATAGTCCTTCCTTGGAGCTTCAGTTTTTATGAACTCATTAGTAGTGGTTACTTTTTTACTGTTCTATATCTATAGGCAGATATTTAGATTCCCATTTTAATCCTTCTATAACATTCACTTGTCTTATTTGTGATATTTCTTTGTATTCTGTTTCTTATAGTTTCTTGTACAGGAAGACTTTATGGTGGTATGGTCCTCAAGAAGTTCCTGAAAGGTAAAGAATTGCCCAACTTCCCTGAGATCAAATCTTTTCCTGGCAACAAATTTGGTATTTTCTGAAACAGACTTATACTGAAAGACAGGGTTGCCAGATTTAGTAAATAAAAATAGCAGACACTCACTTAAGTTTGAACTTCAGATAAACAATGAGTGATGTTTTAGTATGTCTCATGTAATACTTTATCCTGAATTTTATCTGGCTACTCTACTGAAAGATGATGTATAAAACTGTATAGAATTGACAAGATACCTAGCTTTTCTGAATACTCTCCATATAACTTCAAGCAACAGTTTCCCAGATGTAAAATAAAAACGTTAGTAAGTATTTGTTCCTACCTACTTCAAAGAAAGAATGTGTGGAGAATGCTTTCACTGTGAATGACTGATTAGTATTAATGTTGCTTTCCACATTCTGTGCCAAAATTGGTATGATTTAGGAACTTTTGGTGACTTTGGTTTTAAGGATTTCATCTTTCCCTTTATTTAAGAATAATCAACAATTCAAAGGCCATAGCATTTATTTTAAGGAGAACAAAATGATCTGAGAACTGCTATGCTTTCACTTTTATCTTCTGTGGTTGTTTGGTTGGTAAAAATTATCCAATAGCTTATCTTTTCCTAATGAACTGTTAATTTACAAATTTTACAAAGTAATTTTTTTTTTGGAGTTGAAGTCTCACTGTGTTGCCCACACTGGAGTGCAGTGGCATACTCACGGCCACCCCAGTGTCGACCTGCTGGGCTCTGGCCATCTTTCCGCTACAGTCTTCCAAGTAGCTGGAACTACAGGCGCATGCTACCACGCCCAGCTAATTTTTGATTTATTGTAGAGACGAGGTCTCGCCAAGTTGCCCAGGCTGGTCTCGAACCCACAGGCTCAGACAATCCACTTGCCTCGGCCTCCCAAAGTGCTGGGATTACAGGCTGAGCCACTGAACCCGACCACAAGGTAATTTTTTGAAATAAACTTTTCCCACCTAAATCTGGAATATTAGTAGATTTTTAAAAACTTACATTTGTCCTTGCTTTAAGAAAACATGTTGTGCATTAAAATGGGAAAAAAAGGCTACATTAGAAAGGTATGTTAGAAAATACATGTTTATGAAATATATTACCACTGGGTTTTTTTAAAGATAAATGTTTTTAGTGCTTCTTAAAATGCAAATCAATTAAAAATTTTAATTTATTCAAATTTCTAGCAACTCAATTATTGCATAAGTCAAAGTACCTTCCTTTATCTTGATCAGATAAAGAAAAAGAAGAAACTGTTTTTGCAACTCAGTTACCAGATGAATACCCTAAAGACACAACCATAGGAAACAGTCCTACCTTTTGAAACTTATTTTCTGAAGTAATTTTTTAGTTTAAGAATGGGGATTTAAGTGCTTGCTTAGGCTGGGCTTGGTGGCTCATGCCTATAATCCCAGTCTTAACCCTAACCCTAACCCTAACCCTAACCCTAACCCTAACCCTAGCCCTAACCCTAACCCTAACCCTAACCCTAACCCTAACCCTAACCCTAACCCTAACCTTGGATCCCTTCTTCCCTCTCTCCCTCCACCCTCCAGCCTTCCTTCCTCCTCTCTTTCTTTCTCTCTCTCTCTCTCTCTTCCTTGCTTTCTTTCCTTCTTTCTTAAGACAGTGTCTCACTCTGCCACCCAGGCTGGAGTACAGTGGTATAGCTCACTGTAACCTTGAACTTCTGGACTCAAGGGATCTTCCTCAGCCTCCCTAGTAGGTAAGACCACAAGCAGGTGCTACCACACCCAGCTAATTTTTGTGTGTATGTGTGTGAGAAAGCAGGATTTATTGAGAAGACAGAAAAACTCCCAGAGGGGGAGGGAACCCAAGAGGGTTGCCCTCAGCTAATTTTTAAAAACTTTTTGTAGAGATGAGGTCTCCCTGGTTGCCCAGGCTGGTCTCCACCACCTAGCTACAAGCAGTTCTCCCACCTGGGTCTCCCAAAGAGCTGGATTATAGTCTGAGCCACTGTGTGCTTAGCCTGTATCCTTGGATTTTTTAATAGACTTCTACTTTTGATCTGTTTCCAATTTTTTTAGGTTCTGCTTGGTATGAACACATTTGAAAACAGTATTTGTGGGCCAGGTGTGGCTCACACCTGTAATCCCAGCACTCTGGGAGGCTAAGGAAGGAAGATCACTTGAGGGCAGGAGGTTGAGACCTTGTTTCTAACAAAAAAGAAAACAAAAAAACAAAGACAAAAGTTAGCTGAGTATAGTGGCGTGTACCTACGGCCCAGCTACTTCAGAAACTAAGGTGGGAGGATCCTTTGAGTCAAGGAGTTTGAGGCCGCGGTGAGCTATGATTGTGCTGCTGCACTTCAGCCTGGGCAACAGAGCAAGGCTCTGTCTCTAAAACAACAAAAACAAAAACCAACAAACACAAACACACTAAATAAATACATAAATAAACACAAACAGTAATTGTGGAGGAAAAATAATAAAACAAAAAAATTGAGATTTTTGTTCTTGGCTTCAGAACAGATTTTATGAGAGTTTGGGTAGACAGTTCTCCTTTTAGTAATAATCACAATGATGGTTTATTGAGCATTTACTATGCATTAGGTCTTGTGCTCAACACAAAGGGGTTAGAGTAGTGAACAAGATAGATTTGGTTTCTCTGCTTATGCCCATACTTAGGATATCTTAACCACTCTATTCTACTGCCTCCTTAAGCCTATTCCTGAAAGAAAAAGAAAACCACCTTTTGTCCTGGAGAATCTCTCTACTCTGAGACTTTTGGGAGATCTGAATCCAATTCAAGAACATGGGTTGACTCCTCAAAACATTTAGTTTATTTATCAGTTTTTACTTGCTCTTTTTTGGATTATGACCTTGGGATGATGCTAAGAATGGAGAGGTCATTCCTAATACCCTGCTCTAGGTAATATCTGTGAAAGTGCTCTGGAAGAAGTAAAAATCCACATAAATAAAAGAAAGTATTTATTAGCACTAGGAAGGAAATAGCATTTCCTGAAAAATAAACCCATACTTAATATGCTTGTACAGGGAGTGGTCAGATGATACATAAAGCTACTTCTTTGATTAATATTTGTGAAAGTGCTTTTCAAAAATTGAAAAGCCTTATAAGTACAAGGGAATGATTTTATTGTCATTGTTACTATTAGGGAGGAGTATTGAGTTGAGTATCATATGTGGAATAACTGTCTATTTATTATGCTAGCATAAACTCTAGACAATTTGTGTCATAGTGACTTAGTTTTAATTTAACTGTTATTTTAAAAGCTCAAAGCAATTTTATTTAATCTATTTATTTATTCTATTAGCCAGCACTCCCAGCTAATTTTTAAATTTATTGTAGAGACAAGGTCTCACCAAGTTGCCCAGGCTGGTCTCAAACCCTGGGTTCAGGTAATCCTCTTGCTTTGGCCTCCCAAAATGCTGGGATTACAGATGCGAGCCATGATTTCTGGCCACTCTTTTATTTATATTATTTTTATTTTGTTTTTAATTTATTTAATCTATTTTTATAATCTTGTGATAAAGTGTAGGTGACTAACTCTTTGTATAAAGAGGAAATCAAGTACACAACTAAAATTGAGTCATTTACTCACGGTCAATACATTTAGTAGCCAACTGTGGCCTAAGTCTTCTTTCCAGTTGTTAGAGCTAATCATACTAATTTCCACTCAATAATGCTATTTATTCTTATTAATTAGTAACAAAAATTACTCAGTGAAGCTCACAAAGGAAATTGGCCAAGACTAATATATGAGTCCCTTAGCTTCCTGGCTTATGTACCATTAATTATGCTTTTAAAAAACTATTGTTATTTATTTAGAATTCCTGCAACACTATTAAACTATTAGCAAACTGCTTTAAATTGGTCCATTTACTAATCTTTATACTGTTTAATTAGCTTCATCAGGGAGTCTCTGGAAGCTGATTCATTACTCATCATGTTTGTGGCTGCTAAAGAGTTACTTATCTATGTAATATCAATTGTATGCCTCTGAATTCAGCTTAACTAAAGTTGTTGTCTTCATTACTTGGCTGATATCTCTCAGTGCCTAAAATAAGGTGTGACCCTTAGGGGAATTGGACTGTTGTAGAACCAACAGCTTCCATTTTCTTTACTCTTCAACCTGTTCTACCAGGATTGTATCAAGATACTTTTTCTCTGGATCCGAAATACTTCAGATCAATTCCTGGACAAAATAGGCTCATATTTCTGGGTATTTTATTTATGCTGGACTAATAAACAATGACCAAAGTAACCTTCCTATTCTCTTACCTCTCTAATGGTTTATGTTCTTTTTTTTCTTCTCTGGTCCCTGACTACTCATACCTTTATTCCAGTAAACTTTTATTGAATGTCTGCCTTGCCACAAGGAAATCATAGGAAGGAGAGGCAGCTCTGCAAATAAAATGCAGCGTGATAAGTACTATAATGAAGTTATATGCAAGAAGCTTCCTGAGTATCCCAGAGGATCTTCCCCAAAATTCATTCACCAATGTACTTTTCTTCCCTTCATTTAATTCAAATAGCTTTTCTACTTTTAAGACTTTAACTGTCATTTCTATACTGATGAGACTTATTTTTTTTCCTCTCTATCACTGATAGGTCTCTTAAACCAATGGAATAGCTTGATTGTCTCTATTCCATCTGAGAGTTCCTCTGAAATATGTGTAACATGTCTAAAATTGGGTTCAGTTTCTTTTTTTTTAATTTTTATTTTTTTGAGTTGGAGTCTCACTCTGTCACCCAGACTGGAGTGCAGTGGCCGCTCCCAGCCACCGCAGCCTCGACCTGCTGGGCTCCGGCATCCTTCCGCCTCAGCCTTCTGAGTAGCCGGAATTACAGGCGCGCACTACCACACCGGCTAATTTTTTGATTTATTGTAGAGATGAGGTCTTGCCAAGTTGCACAGGTGGGTCTCGAACCCGCGGGCTCAGGCAATCCACTCACCTCAGCCTCCCAAAGGCGCGGGATTACAGGCTGAGCCACTGAGCC